CCTCCTCCTCCTCCTTCCTCCTCCTCCTCCTCCTCCGCATCACCTCCTCCTCCTCCTCCTCCTTCTTCTCCTCCTCCGATGCCTTGTTGGATATGCGCGGCCCCAGAAATGTCGACCCCTTCCAAAATGGGTACTGTTTCGCCGCTGGTCCTTTTTGATCGCCCCGGGGACTGGCAACGGGACCCCATGAGGCAGAAATCGTGGAAAACGCCAAATTTGAACACGTAATTAAGATCGTCGGAGACGCCTCCGGAAACGCCTCCTGAGGGCTTCTGATGCTTTTGCAAGGCCATGGAGACCCTCCAGAGACCTCCAGGGGACTTCTGGGGCCGTCCCGCGAGGACATCTGGCGTAGGCCAGCTGGCGGCGTTGGGAGAAGAGCAAGGAGGCGGCGAGAGTCCCCCCTGGCCCTTGTCGGAGATCTGAGCCCTCCTCCTCCCCCCTGGCTTTCGCGCCATGGCTCGGGCCTCTGGCGGCCGTTCGGGAGGATACGGGCGCCCCCGGAACACTCGACGAGGTGCAGCCGCTGAAACGCATCCCGAGGTTGGAATACCTCGGGAACCGACGAAAGCGCCCGAGGGCCTCGAACTCTCTCCTTCCCCCCTCCTCTGCAGGGAGGCGATAAGGGGGGACGGACTCAGGGAGGGGGGGAACATCGACCTGGAATCGGCAGTGCGCCACTGATGGTCGGCGGCATGCCCCCGCCAGCGACGCCCGCCAAATGCCCCCGATAGCGAAACGGCTTGCTCCTGGGCGGCGGGGTGGGCTATCCGGGCCGCTAGTGGCGATGAGTGGGCGACCAGGGGGGGTCGGCGCACCCCCCCCGCCGAGCCTATCCAGCATGCTTCTGGGCGGGGTGGGCTATCCGGGCCGCTCTCGGCGATGAGTGGGCGACCGGTGGTCGGCGCACCACCCGCGAGCCCATCGCCCATCCACCCCGAATCCGAAAGCCAGAACAAGGTGGCAATGTGTCTTTTGGCCCCCCTCCCCCTTCTGTGGGAGGAGGGCTCCCTGGCTCCCTCCAAGAGGCCCACCTGTGAGAGAAGGGCTCGCTCTGTGAGTGGCATGTCTGGAGACGATAGGAAGGACGAAGAAAACGATGGCGGGACCGGGATTGGAGAGAGGGCTGGGGCCCTGGCAGCGACCGCCTCCTCGGCCCTCGGCTCCTCGAAGCGCGGGCCGCGGGGCGGCGCCCTCTCCTCCCCTCATGCTCTCGGAGCGAGTTCTGGCTCCCGATTCCTCCTCGCTCCTCCTCGCACCTCCTCCTCGCACCTCCTCCTCCTCCTCCTCCTTCTTCTTCTCCATCTTGCTATACTTATTCATATCCTCCTCTTCCTCCTCCTCCTCCTCCTCCTCCTGCCCCTCCATCTTCTTCCTTTTCTTCTCCTCCTCCTCCTCCTCCTCTTCCTCCTCCTCTTCTGAGCATCGTTGAACCGATCCCTATTCCCACCCGCGTGGCCTGGGCCCCACTGGCCGACGTGCCCCCTTGATGGAAAAATTAGCTGGCTCCTTCAAGTTTCGAGGGGCCTATCCCCAACAGGAGGGATGAGCTGGTGGGGCTGAGATACTGTGGCCCGTTAGTGATGCGGATAAGTTCAACGATGCTGATGCTCCTCATTCCGCCTGCTGCTGCTGCTGCTCCTCCTTTTCCTCCTCCTCCTGCTCTCCTCCTCCTCCTCCTCCTCGCTCCCCTCCTCCTCCTCCCCCTTCTCCTCCTCCTCCTCCTTCTCCCTCTCTTCCTCCTCCTCCTCCTCCTCCTCCTCCTCCTCCTCCTCCTCCTCTGAGCATCATTCAACCGAGATCCCTATCCCCACCGGCGTGGCCTGGGCCCCACTGGCCGATGTGCCCCCTAGATTGGAAAATCAGCTGGCCCCTTCAGGTCTCGAGGGGCCTATCCCCTAACAGAGGTGGTGAGATGGTGGGGCTGATGTACTATTGCTCGTAAGAGATGGCCTCCTCCTCCTCCTCCTCCTCCTCTGAACTGTTTCTCTCCCTCCTCACTCCTCCTCCTCCTCCTCCTCCTCCTCCTCCTCCTCCTCGAGCAGCGACTACCTTCTCCGCCCCCCCGTCTGTCGGCGGCGTCCTTCAGGCTCGCGGCGTCGACTGCTTCCAGGCGCGTGAGCAGTGCCTGCTCGAGCAGGGCGCGGCCGTGCAGCCTGGCGGCGGCGGCGCCCGTCGCTGGCGCTAGATCGATCGATCGTCCCATGTTGTTGTATTGCTTTTTGAATTCATGTGGGCGATTTCGGAAACCCTGCACCCAGACACGGTTTCATCTCTTGGGGGCGCATTATTTACTTCTGCCATTTTCCGCCGCCCTTCCGCCGGCTTCCGCCGGCGGAGGCGGCCTCGTCTTACTTCCGCCGACCTTCCGCCGCCTTCTGCGGCGGAAGAGATGACAACTCCTTCGATCCTCGAAGGCAAGGTCATTTTCGGAACGCTCCATGTGCTGTTTAGTTTTTGCAGCTTTCCACTTCAACGTTTGTTACTTCGATACCCCTTTCCAGCGCGCGTTGTTCTTCAATGGACGTGTCGCCCTCCCCGGGGCTGGCACCGCTTTCTGTCCCAAGGAAGGTCTTCTTGCTCAAACTGTGCCTCTGAGCCTCTGGCTACAAGAACAACGATTCCCGCCTGATACTTCCTCGCATATCATTCAACATCGCACTTTCGCCCGAGACTTTCCCTGAATCAACCCAGGACTCGTGCTCTCGCCCGAGGACTTCTTCACTATGCACGGAATTCGCTTCAATACAATTACCAGAAGACAACCCGGAACAGCTCAAACAGACGAGCGAGGGCACAACCTCCCCCGACGAGCTAGGGCCGTAGTGCTACCACACAAGAAACGGAGCCTAGAGAAAACGAACTGTCATGGCCACGGCGAGCCCCAGCCACGAATGCCTCCCCCCCAACCTGTATCCCATGGGCAGCGCCACACAACCATACAGTCGGGTCGCTGTCGTAAGGAAGCCTCGATAAGGGACGAGGCCCCTTTTGCCATACGGTAGGTTGACCTTCGATCTCCCATGGACACACTCAAGGAAACACCTACGACAAACGGTAAAACAATTAATGAGCACGGGGCCCCTCCCCAACGAGAAAGGCTCCTTCTTCAGCGGCCCCACTGCAAAGGATGCCACGAGCGTGGGGGGACCAAATCGGAGCGGGGTGAGGCGGTCAACGCACACGTGCTCATCGGCCATCGTGCCGCCCTCGTCAGTGATCTGCTTCGGCCCTCTCGCGCGCCCATGTCTGTTTCTATCTCGCCTCGGCTTCGGAAAATCGGGCCCCCCCCCCTGAGCCCAGAGGGATCCTCATTTCAGCGCCCTGACTTGAGGGGCAACGATGGGGGGGGATAGGCATAGGGGGGGACGCATCGACCCCCAATCGCCGATTGAACGCCGATATGGGCCCGATAGCCACAACATGCACAGGAACGTACGGATTCACCAACGGGAGCCGATCGAAGATCTATCGGCGATGTATCGCCTATCCCCCCCCCTATCGTTGCCCCTGATGGCTGCGCAGATAAGACAGCAAGAGGCCCTCAAACAGCTCCGGCGGACGGTGGAATCACTCTCTCCCCGCCGAGCTGCGCGGCGAGAGAGAGCCCGGCCTCGCGGCCGTCGCCGTCGAGGCCGCCGTCGCCGCAGCCGCGCTGTCGAGGTCGACGTCGTCGCCGCCGCCATCGTTGTCGCCGAGGTCGTCACCGCGTCGTCACCTCGAACCTCGATCCTCGATGCTCCTCCCTCCGACATCGATCCTCGATGCTCCTCCCTCGATCCTCGACCGTTGTCCCCCGATCCTTCGAGCCTCGAGGGCTCAATCCTCCACCCTCGATCCTCGATCCTCCAATCTCGATCCTGGACCCTCGTCGTTCCCGAGGTCGTCGATCGCCGCTCCCTCGCCCGCGGCTGGGCGGCGCGGCGCGCGCCGCGGGGGCGCGCGCCGCGGGGGGGCCTCCCCACGGCGAGCACCCGCGAAAGCTCCACCACGCGCGCCTCGCGCGGCGCCGCCCCGCCGCTCGTCGTCGCCGCTCGTCGTCGTTCGTCGCCGACGCCGCCGTCGTCGCCGTCACCGTCGCCGTCGCCAGCGCCGTCGTCGTCGTCGTCGTCGCCGTCGTCGTCGTCGTCGTCGCCGTCGTCGTCGTCGTCGTCGTCGTCGTCGTCGGGGTCGTCGTCGTCGTCGTCGTCGTCGGTGTCGTCGAGGTCGACGTCGTCGCCGTTGTCGCCATTGTCGTAGGTCGTCGTCGTCGTCGTCACCCTCGTCGTCGGAGAGGGGGCGAGGAGGAACGCGTAACGAAGAGGAGCCCAGAGCAGCAGGTGACAGAAATGGAGGGGGAGAGAGGGGAGGAGAGGGACGGAGGTAGTGTCGGCTGCCTACCGGTTTATCCTGGTCTGCTGCGCGGTGAAAATCGTGAAATGGCAATAGCTGCTGACAGGATGGAAGATGATGGGGGGGGGAAATTAGGAGGGGAAGGGAGGGGAGGAGGAGGAAAGGAGGAGGAGGAGGAGAAGGGAGGAGGGATGATCATCAGGAGGATCATGATAAGAAGAAGGAGGAGTTCAGAGTGCGATGGGCTCGGGACACCAAGGAGGAGGATGAGGAGGAACAGAGTAAACCAACAATGCGTAGGCGATGCTGCAATACACCCTCACGTCCCAAGTCCTCTCGTCACACGCTCATGCCAGTTTTTCTTTTTCACAAGAAGCGCCCCCCTTGAAAGACCAGCATCGTTGGACCTGCCATTTTGGCGAGGGCCTCGCCTTTGAAAGGAACTACCTCGCATCTTGCCAATGTGTGACCAGGAGCGCGAAAGATGACCAGACAGTCTCAAGGAGGTGTCCAACGATACACCCACCTTTCGAAAAAGGGCCGTCCCCCCATCCGAGTGACTAAGTATTGCGCAAATTGACTGAGTATCGTTTAACAGATCCCCATCCCCAGCGGCGTGGCCTGGGCCCTGCTGGCCGATTTACCCCCCTACATGGGGATTCAGGCCGCTCCCTTCGGGTCTCGAGGGGTGTATCCCCTAACTGGGGTGTCAATTTGGTGGGGGTCTCGAGGGGGACGGGGATGGGGATGGGGATCGGTTAAAAGATACTGATGTACACGTCGTTCATTTCTAGTCGTGCTCATTTCTAAGCGTGCTCGTTTCTAACTGTTCCTGGCCCCCTGGTGGCCAGGAAAAGGCCCAGGACAGAACGATTAGAAATGAAAGGATCTTGGCCCCCCAAAAAATCAAGGAACTCGCGAATAACTAGAAATGAACAATGTGTAGTTCATGGCTTCCGCTTCCTTCGGGCACCCTGCAGTGCGGGAGCCAAACGCCCGCAGGCGCGCCGCCAGGTCTTCGGGCGGCCTGCGGCAAAGGACATCGCGGCGAACCTTAGGCAGGGTACGGTGTGGGCATTGGATAAGGAACCCTTAGATAAGAAATCCAGGGTCTGGAGGCCAGTGGAACTCCAACCGAGGCCTGGCCATAGATCTCACCGCCGCCTCGTGGTCGTCGACTTCGACGCAATTCCGCGCGGCAATGTCATGCCGAAAAAGAAAGCCGCCACGGCTCCGGGCAGCGCTGCGCGCGAGGAGCTGCTGGGCCCCGGACGTTCTCTCGGGCGAGAGACTGGCTCTGGAAAGAGCAGTCCTTCAATTCGGAGGAGCGCCGCGTGAACAAACAAATGCACCCTCCTCCTCCTCCTCTTCTTCCTCCTCCTCATCATCGTCTTCTTCTTCGTCCTCCTCTTCTTCCTCCTCCTCCTCCTCTTCCTCCTCCTTTTCCTCCTCGCCTCATCTTCTTCCTCCTCCTCTTCCTCCTCCTCCTCCTGCGCCGCGCTGGGGCGAGAACCCTATCCTGAAAAGGAGCCGCCCTCCATCCGTGAAGCCAGCGCGAACTGTGAACATCAGGTGCGCGGTGTGGAGGCGAGAACTCCCACCGGTGCACTTGCAGCAAACGCTTAAAACAAGCGTGCGCGGCACAAATGCGAGAACCACATTTTGCAAGCGACCCCTGCTGCTCCGTCCGTGAAGCTGCTGCACGCTGTGAAGACGAATGCGCGCGGCGCTGGGGCCAGAACCACATTTGGACCCAACCCCTTCCACCCGTGCAAGTGCTGCAAACTTTCAAGACGCATGTGCGCGGCGCAAAAGCGAGAACCACATTTTAAACAAGAGCCGCCCTCTATCTATCCGCGCAGCTGCTGCAACTGTTTTTTTAAATGCGCGCGGCGCTAAGGTGAGAACCGCACTTACAGAAACGACATGTACTCCATCCGTACAGCTGTTGCACACTTTCAAAACGAATGTACGGGACACTAAGGCGAGAACCTCATTTTGATCTCGCCGCCTCCGTCCGTGAAGCTGCTGCAGACTGCAAACTTTTAAAACGAATGCGCCCGGCGCTCAAGCGAGAGCCACATTTTCAAAACGACCTCCCTCCATCCGAGAACCTTTTGCAAATACCAGAGTCTGGAATCATAAAATGTGATGAAGCCTCAAGCGCAAGGCCTGGCCCGCCCCACGGACACGCCAGCGGGTGCGACAGGGCGGATTCACACACACACACACACATGTGGTGCCCCCAGGGGGGAACAACTTCTTCACATATGTGAGGGAGGAAGAGACAGATAAAAACGAAGAAGAGTATGTGCAATGAGAAGAGAATATAGGTTTTTCAAAAACAGCTCTCACGTGTCCACCTCGTGCTCCCTCTTCTCATTCGTCTCGTCCTCCTTCTTCCTGCTTCGTCTCCTCGTCCACCGTTTTTTTGTCTCTTCCGCTCTCTTTCTTCCAAGCCGTCGCAACTCCTTTTGCTCCTGCTTGAAAAGGAGGAGCAGGAGGATGAGGAGGAGGAGGAGGAGGAGGAGAAGGAAAAGTAAGGAGGAGAAAGAAGGAACAACATGACGGGGAGGAGGAGGAGGAAGAGGAGAAGGCCTCTCTGTAGAGGAGGCACCAGCCTGGGAGGTCCCAAAATAACTTCCTGTGGAATAAGCTCGCCTGAGAGGTCCTCCAAAAAACGCTTCGAAGCAGAGGCTCCAGCCCAAGAGGTCCCAAAACAACCCAAACATGAGGAGGCTCCCGCCTGAGAGGTTCAACAACAAAAAACAAACAGGAGGAGGCTCCTGCCTCAGAGGTCCCAAACAAATCCAAACAGGAGGAGGCTCCAACTTGAGCGGTTCAGCAACCACAAACGCAAACAGGATAAGGTTCCTGCCTGAGAGGCCACAGAAAAACCCAAACAGGACAAGGGTCCTGCCTGAGAGGTCACCAAAAACCTAAACAGGATGAGGCTCCCGCCTGAGAGCCTCCCCCCAACACAAAGACACCCAAACACAATGCTTCTCATCCTTGCAACTGTCCCCCCCAAAGAAACAAAATCTATAGGAGAATAGACGCCGCCGTCTCAGATGCGTTGGCAAGGGATACCGGCTCTCTGGAACTTCGGTTGGTTGGACTTTTTTGGCACAGTTGCAACTACATATGGCGGGCATGGTGTTTGGGTTTCTGTGGGTTGCTTGGGGGCCTCTCAAGCGGGAGCCTCCTCATGTTTGTTTACTTTGGGGGGAGGCTCACTGGCGGGAGCCTCATCCTGTTTGGGCTTTTGTGGGCCTCTCAAGTGGGAGCCTCGCCCTGTTTAGGTTATGTTGAAGACCTTTCCAGCGAGAGCCTACTCCTGCTTGTTCTGTTTCGGACCTTTGGGGCGGAGAGATTTCAAAGACAGGCCCCCCCGGCCAACCCCACCCTGCATACCGCACCGCGGCCCCAAGACCCCAAATTGTCCCGAGTATCCCGAGTATCCCGGGTGTCCCACCTCGCACCCTGCCAGCCCCACCCTGCATACCGCGGCCGCCAGACCCCAAGTTGTCCCGATGATCCCACCTCGCGCCCTCGACTGACACGACAGAACAACATAACATAGCAGAACCGAGCATAACATAGCACACCTTGACATAACATATCATGCAACAACATCACAGGACTTACAATACAACGACAGCGTAACATAGCGACGACGAACACGACGTAAGACAACATGGCACAACATAATAATACATTCCAGAAAACGGTCATGACATAGCATGTCATAACATAGCATAGCAATGCCATGACAAAACACTGCAGAACATAACATCGCAGAACATACCACATAGAAACATGACATAATGTAGGACGACAAAACACAACATAACATAACAGAGTAGAGCATCACATAACACACCTTTGCATAACATATCATATCATGACGCAGCATCACATAGCTTCTCCTATAATGACAGCAGAGCATAGCGACACACACACACACACTAGCAGAACAGACCATAACATGTACCATACAGAGCCGAGCCGCCAACAAACATAACATCACATAACATACCAGAGCAGAACATGGCAGAAAAGAAGACGACAGAACACACTGCAATAGAGCATGACTAAGCATATAATAACACACATTGATAGAACAGATCATAGTTTGACGCCGGATCACACAACATCTCATACCACGACAGCAGAGCATAGCGACGACGAACAGGACAGAACAAGACATGGCACAACATACCATGACAGGACACACCACGAGCAGGACGTAACATGCCAGAACCGGATATAGCAGTGTCATGACAAACTGGATCACAACATAACATCACATAACATACCAAGGTAGAACATGACAGAACAGAAGACGACATGACATAAGCATAACATCATGCCCATTGTCAGAACAAATCGTACCATGACGCAGCATCACACAACGTATCATAATCCGGCAGCAGAGCATAGCGACACATACTAGCATATGATATCTTAGATACCATACAGAGCCGAACCGTCAACAAACATACCATCACAGAACATACCAGAGCAGACATGACATAACAGAAAACGACACAACTCAACGTAACGTCACATAACCGCGCATAGCAGAACACACCTTGATAATGTAGTAAACCGAGCTATCAACAACATCGCATAACATACGATACTGTACAGAACTGGGCTGTCA